TCAAGGAAAAAGTCACTGATACCATCTACCTTCACTAAGGCCTTGAACACTGTCCCTCACAATGTCCTTTCCAAATTGGAAAGATAAGGATTTGGTGGCTGGACTGCTCAATGAACATGAAACTAGTTGCAAAATTGCACCCAGAAAGTGATGACTAATGGCTCAGTGTCTGGATTGAGATCAGTGATGAGTCCTTCATGGGGTCAGTACTGAGACCAGTGCTGTTAATATTTTCATCAGTGACGCTGACAGTAGGATTGAATGCTCCCTCAGCTAGTTTGTGGATGACATTGTGCTGTGTGGTGCAGCCAACATGCCTGAGAGATGGGATGCCATCCAGAGAGACCTAGACAGTCTTGAGCAGTGGGCCCAAGGTGAGTGTCATGAAATTCGACAAATCAAAGTTCAAATATGGTTGCAGCAACTCCCTCTATCAATACAAGGGATGAAAAGATTGAGACAGCCCTAAGGAAAATGACTTACGGGTACTGGTGGATGGTAAGCTAGATATGAGCGCAACATAGCCTCACAGCCCAGAAAACTAAACATATCCTGGACTGCATCAAAAGAAGTGTGGCCAGCTGGTTAAGGATGGTGATTCTGCCCCTCTGCTTTGCACTGGTGAGACCATATCTGGAGTACTGCATCTGGATGTGGAGTTCTCAGTACAGGAGAAGTGTGGACCTGTTAAAGGGCATCAGGAGGAGGGCCACAAAAATGATCCTAAAGATGGTACACCTCCTGTGTGAGGACAGGCTGAGAGAGCTGAGGCTGTTCAGCCTGGAGAAAAGACAATTCTTGGTGGACCTGATAGCAGCCTTTTAGTATCAACAGGGGAGGACATAAGAAAGAAAGGGACAGGCTCTTTAGCTGTGTCTGTTGTGATAGGACAAGGAGAAATGGCTTCAAACTGAAAGAGAGTTTAGACTGTGTATAAGGAACAAGTTATTTTACAGTAAGGGTAATGAAGCACGGAAACAGGTTGTCCTGAGAGGTGGTGGTTCCCCATGCTTGGAGACACTCAGGGTCAGACGGGACTGGACTCCGAGCACCTGATCTAGCTGTGGGTGCACCTTTTCATTGTGGGGGAGTTGGACTAGTTGGTCTTTAAAAGTTCTTTCCAGCTCAGGTGATTCTATGATGAAAATGCAGGTGTATTATTTAAAAAAGCTCAACCTGCATCTGCTTTTGTTTTTTTCTTCCATTGTTAACATTTCCTTCATTCCATCTGTTTCCTTCCCTCCTTTTCTAGCTCTGCTGTTAAATTCTGACCTGCCTACTAGAGAAGAGTACTGACAAAATGATTGTCTGTCTCAAACTAGGGCAAACCGTATGGAAAGCAAATCTTGTGGTGAAAATATTACTGGAGAAACTAATGATGAATGATGTTCAGAAATGTGTACCATGTGACTTGAAACAATAATTTGATACAATGCAGACTGAAACAGAAACTTCAAATATTCGTATTGGGAATAAAAATTCAGGTGATTTTTGTAGTGATGCATACTTTGCAGAGCATCCTTACATAGAGTCCTTTTGTACTGTAGACAACATTGTTATTCCTTGGAGATAATTTATCAAAGGCAATGGAAATATCTTCAGTACAAAAAGAGCTACAGCTGCTAACAACCAAGAGCATATTTCATCAGCAGTTCCTGGTTTAAAAGGAGTAAAATACTAAAACTAAAAGAAATGGAGAAAAACTGTTTTATTGAGTCCATTACATGACCAATGTCACTCAATGACACTGCTGCATGACTCGTGTGTGCTCAACTGATAGATTTCTGTTTACTTTTTCCTTTAAGAGGAAAAGAGTGTAAGATCCTGGAGGAATCTTAGGGAGAAAAATGTGTTTAGCTTCCTTTACAAAAATGTGCTGCTTGTTTGTATTTCAGGCCAGCTGGCCTGGAATGGCAGAATGCGTTATGGTTCTTGGTCGGCAAGACTGTTTTGTGACTGGAGGCTTGGTCAGGTGGTCAAATGAGAGCTCTAAATTTCTTGGTGACCTTTAATGTTGCCCATAAATGCAGCCCCACTTCCCCTTTGGTGAAGGAGGGGTTTGTCATCGTCAGTGGGAGCGAAATGAGGCCATGAGAGATGGCTTGTGCCTACACAAACATGAGCTGTGGTTGTTTGAGGTCCAAATTCCCATCTCTGAGCTGAGGAAATAACTGTGGCCTTGCGTGCAGGGTGAAAGTTTTTTCTGGTTGTCCTTTAAACCTATGGGGAGGTTCTTTTTTCAATACTGAGTGGCTTTTTTGGTTTGCTTAAACATTTCCCCCACACAAGCAGAAGGCAAAAAAAGAAGTATGTTTATTCCCGTTTAAGTGGTACTTGAACAGGTGTTTAAGTCAATTAATCATAGTAACCTATTCCTTGGGCTAGTTCAGAAATGTTTGCTGGATGAAGAAAGTATGCATCTGCAAAAGTAAACATGTTCTGTGATTTTAGAGCCGGACAAAACACTTGGTGACCCCACTCGCACTAAAAGTTTGAGCAGTTAGTGTTTTGTACGTGTTTCTCTTGGGAGCTGAGGTCCCACAGTGATGGGAACAGATCTTCTGTGTTACTGACTGCTCTGGAGAAAGGTGAAGGTGCAGCAAGTCCCAGCCACCAGGAGGAAAGCAGGTGGTGGTTTCTTCAGGATGCTCCTTAATGTGTTTTAAGGAAAGGTACTCCTACATGTGTTCATTCTGTCTTGTAGGACCGGGTAGAAGATGTTAAGCAGATTGATGAAAGAGGAAGGAGGGGAAAGAAAAATTGTTCTAATCACTGCTACTAAGAGGGTAATGTTTAAGTCTAGATGGTTGCTGTTTTATTTTTATCACATCCTAGCTCTGTGCCACACGAATGGCCTAAACATCAGTGGATGCGTGAGAATACAGATGTAGATTACAACAATCAGTTAAAACCTTGCTCAACTTGTATTTGCTGCGTGTCTCCAGAGCATTTTGAGGCTGCTGATGGAATTTTAATTTTTCCATAAGAAAAGTCAACTCCAGAGGCCTGAAGTGAAGCTCCATACTCCAGCAGCACCAATCATTCCCTGGTGAGTAATGTTGCAGGAACAAGGAGATACTTAGCCTAAGAATCAGCGTTGCTTGGTCCTTCTGACATCCATAGGAAAAAAGAAGCAACGACAAGTTAGCATAGGATGTGACAACTCCTGAATTTGAACAGCATACAGCTTTAGGATTGGGAGATGTACCATTGTGTAATATATGTGGTAGCACTTGTTACTTTTGGCTCAATTATGTATAGCCACAAATATCTTAAAATAAATTGGCTGCATGTTTTCACAAAATGACTCTGAAATGACTTACCTGTTTTGTTCAAGAATTCTTCATGTGCTGTTATGCCTTTTTCATTCAGATGGCTCCTTGTTTTAATACTGCATATACTGTATGGTAGCCAGAGTTCTGGTTTTGTTCCAGTGATGTTGCAGTTCAGCTCTGTTTTCCTCAAGCCCTGTTTAATACTTTCATCCCCAAAGTGGCATGGTGCAGTGGTACTTTGTTCGTGCTGCTGTGTTTGTGTTCTTTGTATTTTCTTGAGGTGATTTATCTAGCAGTTGTAATATGTTTGTACATTCTTTCTTAGAATAACCTGTTTGTAAATATGTCACTCAACTTCATACTAAAATACCAAATGAATAACTATTTCCAACATGCATTTTTTCATACTCAATTTAGATGCTAATTAGAATCCATCTTTTATATAAATCTTGCTCATCTTTTGTGTGGTTAAATGTGCTTCCTGAAATAACTGCCCCCCACTTTCCTCTTGGTGGCTGAGACCTGCTGCACCACTGCCTTTCTCTAGAGCTGTCAGCTATGCAGTTCTCATTGCCGTGGGATCTCACTCCAAAATCAAATACAAGAAAAAAGTATTTATGTGATATTTATAACAAGGATGATGGATAACTGCATTTGTCTGTAACTCATACATATTCAGTGTTTTATCTCATCTCTACAGTGGCATCTTTGAGCAACATCTGTAGCTATTAATGAAAATGCTTCAGAATAGGTTTAGCAATAACAAGACTTGAATTCCCACATTCTTTGTTTTTTGCGGTCATATGTGCACATTTGAAACCTTGTCTCCCACCACAGCAAGTTCCTGTGCAGAGAGTAGTCATGAGCTGGAACTGAGGCTGCTGTGAGAGGTGAGGTAACTTTTTAAGTAAATTCAGAAGCCTGGAATGTAAAAACAGGTCTCTTAAATTGTAGGACTGAGCTTTAACTCTAAGTTACTTTGCTTTTAAATACTTGATGACTTTACTATGCTTTTATAGTTCTTTCATTTGTGATCTGTTCTAGTCTAATTTATCCCCTTGTCCTTTCTTTAAAAAAAAAATAAAAATCTGTCATTACATTGGCCTGTTTTATTTGCCTTTGCACTCAGCCTCTTTTTTTTTTTCTTCATCAATTTTAATCTTAGCTACTGTTTCCCTTTGGCTCTGCATGGACTCTTTTTTTCCTCTGCTTGAAGATCATGTTGTTTTTAAGAATGTTTTCCTCTCTGTCCTGTTGTTCCACCAGTGAGGGAATATTTGTCATCAACTTCTTCACCAGAGTGACAGATACTATTTTTCTTATCTGATTCATATGTGATATTCATGAATTACAATTATGTAATACCACAGATCTTCTCTACCTTTAGCTTTCTAAAGAAGACGTGCCATTCTTTTTCCTGCCACAGTGCAGTCAGCTCTGCTTATGTCAGTCCCAATGGTTGTTTGTCCATTATGTTGTGCAAGAACTCCAGTGATGGAGACTGTACAGCTACCCAGACGAATCCTTTTCAGTATCTCATTATTCTTAACGCTTGAAATCTAATTCTCCACTCCCTTTGTGTCTTACCTGAGCTGCTCTTCTTTACTTTAAGCCTGTTACTACTTCTGCAGCGTACCATGGATGTGGAATAGGCATTTCTTTTATCTGCATGTTTAAAAAACAGTTTCTTTCATTTCAGTAAATGAAAGAAAATTGAGGAGACTGATAACAAACACTGCTTCTATTAATCTTTCTGGTATAAGATGTCTTTTAAGATGTATAGGTCTGTTATTGCATGTTTATGTAGGACGAGTCTGAAGGACCACAAATTGTAAATGGGGAAAAATGTTGGACTCAGTGTTGGCCCAACCATGCTTGACAGTTTTCAGACTGGTTCAAATCTTGGTCAGTTCCTCTGCAGAGTTACTACAGTGTTTGTAGAACACCCATCTGTGATTATGGATGTATTCTAAGATTGCTATGATTAAGTCGACGTTCAACAAGTGAAATCTGTGGATATTCCACAAAGGAAAACTATGGCTTGTGTTTCCAGGCTCTCTTTAGCACCTCTGGAATTTTATATCTCATTACAGCCCTCATCTCTTTTTTTACTTTTCAGTTGGTAAGCTGGTACTTCCCCTGAAGCTTGGAGATCTACTTACTACCATATAGTGCCTCTTTTCCCATAAAATCTCAAGCTGGGTATACTTCCCAGAAGTATTCAGATACACAGACACATATATATGTTTCAGTCATTCATCCTTAAAATATGCTGTCAAAGCCATTCTTCTACTCTTGGAACTCTGTTCTCATGTTTCCTTTTGTTCTGTGGGAGTTGCTAAGATTTCCCATTGAAATTTATTTTAAATGTTTGTTCTTTTGTGCAGATTCACTGCACAGCCTTGTCTCCCACAGTGTAGACGGGTTACAATGGAGACGATGGTAACCTGGCAGTGATACAGGAGCACATTACTTGCAGCTGCAGTGAGATTTCACCCAGCATTCTGTTGCAGAGTACTTCAACTTCCAAATTAATCATAGTTTTCTCTCTGTTCTCATTGCTTGGGCAAATATTTCAGTGTTGTGTAGAGTTGGAGCAGTGATCTATGTGAGAACAAAGAATCTTGTTTTCCTGCCTCTTGTATATGCTTACCTACCAAGCAAGCTTTTTAACACTTGATAAAATAAGTCTGTTTCCATCATGTAATGATACGTTTTTGTAAATCTGAATACAAGTAAAGAAATTCATGTTTGTTGCCAAATGTTCTGGCTGGATGCCATCCCTGGTGTTCTGGCTTCATCCAGATGATGAATGTTCCCTGTCAAGCCTGCAGCCTAGTGAGAGAAGACAATGGTACAGAAGTACTGTAATTATCTAATCAACTTTGCTTTAGAATGTTAAGCAAATGCAATTCTTTAATACTCTAGTTTCACCAGAGCTGTTAATTAGCATGTGCAAATGCAATTTATACAGCAAAACTGAATAGAGGAAATATGCACTTTTAAATTACTTTACTCCCCTCTAGTGGTCTTATACCATATATACTTTATATAACACCTAATCACAATAGATTTAAGGATGATGTTAATAATCTATTAAAAAAAAAAAAGAGTCTACTGTTAACTACTCATTACTCTGCTCGTTAGCTCTTCCTGCAGTGAAACCAGGCACTTGCCGATGCAACTCTCTAAACTAAACTGTTCTTTTCATGTTGACTCTATTAAAACCCAGTCTGCACCCACAGCTTTAAAATCAACATGCATTAAAAAATCTTAAAGCTGTGTACTAAGCCATTTTTTTCCACATGCCTTCAAAACTGCTTCAAAGGGACTTTAGTTTCAACGTTAGTGACTCAAACTGCAACCAAGGATGTAGAAACATCAGCAGAAACTAATCAATCTGTAGAGCTCTATTTTTGTTCTGTGAGATATGTCAGTTTTATTGTGCACCTAGAGTCAGTTGGGCCTCTGCAAGCTGTCGGACATACAGAGGCTGTTGAATGACTGGGATCTGCCTTTTAAGCTTGCCAATTGGCCACTTTGTGTAGGATGCAGCTTCACTAGCTGGGAAACAGATGAGAACGTGCAGGATCAGAATGGAAACTGCTACTTCTCAATAATCCCCCTGGCTCTTTGCTCATATTACTGATTTTGTAATCAACAGCATGGAGGTATGCAGCATGGGCTTCGTTAAGCAGCAGTTACATTTTTGCCAAATTTGTCTTTGTGTTCTAGGGTCTATGTTTTAAAGGCTTGGAAATGAGTTGCTAATACAGTATGCTTGGAGAACAAAAGATGCTTGACTCCTTACTCCTTTTTCAGAATAAATTCAGAAATTTATTAAGAGAAATGTACATAGAGAATTTGCTTTTCAGAAGCTAGCTGCTCTTTTCAAACGATCCGTTTGGAACTCTTTTTTTCTTGGGATATGATTTGGAAGAAAAGAAAGGGAAACAAGAAGGGCATAGAGTCAATAAAGAAAAGGTTATTTACAAGTAGAAAATAAAGTTATCTTAAAATACATCACAAATCTGTATTTGTTTTCGTACTTAGCTAGTAAAAAAAACAACAGAAGCATTCCAAGCACGAAAACATTTTACTACTATGTGAGTGAAACTTCTTGTTTTAAATCAGTCTTAGTTTGTAAAATTTACAACTTCAAAAAAGACAAATTCAAAATGATACAGTACAGGAGATACAAACCTGGCTTTCTTTTTAAAATTTTCCTCCAGGATTTTTCTTTTGTGGAAAACTTAAATATCTCAGTTTCCTTCCAAGCTGGAAGGAAACCAAATCTGAAAAGTAAAATCCGTCATAAAAATTAACTTTTGTCTTCCTGCTCCGTGCTTGCAAGAGATGCTTTGCCTGTCAGTGACGCGTGTTGTAACAACCAATAGCTGGGGAAACTATTTCCTATATTTCTCAATGTTGTTCCCTTTTAGGTCATTAACAGATAGTTCTAATAAACAGGAACTGAGCCAGTGGAGGCTTTGACTCTACTTATCATTTTGTGTGTCTGAGCAATCCCTTTGATCAGTTCATCAGCCAAAGAGTTTAACTTGTTCTCAACTCTCCTCTTGAACAGCAGAGTCAACAGTCAAACGAGATCAAAATCAATCACATGTACACATGTGGAAGCAGGTAAGATACGTATTGTGACAAAGTCATCTCTTTAGCTGTAGAAACCACACAGCAGGCAGCTGGTGGAGGGGTTTTTTTTTACTCAGAAGAGCTATCAGGCTCTGCCTAGGGATCTTCATAGGCCTGCATAGAGATCCACTGCCACTTGGGGTGTCCTGTCTGACACTTGGCAATCCTATGGGGTTTAAGGGGGCATGTCCCAGCTGTGTCACCAACATTGCAATGTGGGCACTTGGGCTTGATAGTTGGTGTTGATTTTACTCTTTTCTGCAGCTCTCTGCATCAAATCCATGCAGGAGTTCCATAGGCTTCAACTTCAGGAATGTGTATGCTCCAGTTACCCTCCTGCAAAAAGCAAATGTGGTCATTTAAGAGCTCTGCAACTTAGTATGTGAGTCTAAGTAGAACTTTGTGCCTCTGTGCTTAGGGGAAAGTGGGATCTTGGTCAGTGTGGATTCAGATTCAAAGACTCCAGGTCTCCAAAGGAGAGAAAATCTACTGTGCCATAGTAGAAGTATCAAAGAAGAAATGGTTGGAAGAAATGCATTATCCCTATAACCCTACTTGTCAGATCACAGAATGATTGAGTCTGTGTGGTAGATCTGGAGGTCATCTGGTCCAACCTCTGCTCAAGCAGGACCAGCCAGAGTCAGTTTTACAGGGTTTTAAATATCTCCAAGGGAGGAGACTCTACAGCCTATCCATGTAACCTGTTCTAGTGCTCAGTTACCTTCTCCGAATCTCTTTAGTAGTTCAAGAAGGTCTCATCTTGGCTAAGAATCCACTTGTCAGGTAGATGTTGAGGTAAAGCGGGTTCCTATTTATTTTGGGCAGACTTAGATTTAGTAAATGAGTTGCTACCAGATTCACAGAATGTTTGAGTTTGGAAGGGACATCTATAAAACATCCAACCCCCAACAGTTCATGCCCCCTTCCTACAGATTATGCCTTTTAGGTCAGTGTGCTTTTCACTCCTGAACTAACGCATTGTTGTAGTTCCTAGCGTCTGCCTGGGCTCAGTTCCACCTGCATTCAACACAAGTGGAAGATGTTACTTAGGTTTTCTTCCTACTCTGTTAGAGTTAAGAGAACACAGAAATAGGCCCAGATATGCCAGAAGAGCTGTCTTCTGCAGAACGTTACTTGGTTAAGGATAGAGCTAATCTTTTTCATGCTATGGGATTCAGTCATCAATTGTAGTCCTTTCTTGAAAATATTTCAGATGCTGAGATTCCCTTGGAAAAACAAGTTTTGCCAGCCTCCCATGGAGAATGATCTTCATCAGCACATATGCATGTCAGGGTTCCATTGAACTGATACAACAGCGCAGTTGTTTTTATAACACATAAAGCTCTGAATTTGTTACTGTTGAACGTGTGTATTAGAGCATGATATGTATGTGAATTCTGAAGACTTGGTTTTTATGAGTTGGAGTAAATTCAAAACGTGTTGATTTATTGTTTCACACAACGTTGCAAAGATTTATTTTCATCATGCATTATCTGAATATTTAGCCAGCAAAACTGCAAGAACTTGTTGCTCTTTCACTATTAGTGACAAAAACTCAGCCACATAAGTAAAAAGCCTCATCTATAAGCCAAATAATGGTAATGACTGCATGTTGTGAAAAGGAGGAAAGGCATCATAGCCAACTGTATGAAAGGAATTGTTTCCAGTTCTCCGTAATGCATCAGAATCCATGTAATGCTGTTGTCAGGAGCTCCGTTGCTTTATCTAAGTTTAACTGATGGAATAGCACTCACGACACTGCAGTAAGGGCATGTTCTGAAGTCCACTGAAATAAATGAAGGAGAAAAAAATGATCTCAGGCTTTGGACTAAGCTTGTACTGCCAAATGAAGCTTCTCCAGTTCACTGCAGTGCAGAGAAACTCTGTTTTCCCAATAGTTTATCATAATATGTGTCCAGACTGGAGTCTCTGGAAGATTAACTTATCTTGAAAAGGCAGCTTGAATCTCCTTATTTACACCACCCACTGTTTTATCCATAAAATTAGACTTCCTTCCTTTTAGTGACAAACTGGAATGGGAAAAGTCAGCCTTACCATGTATCCATGTATCTATAGATGGATAGATATAGGCCCCCATTTTCCCAAGCACCTCCCACCCATAAGTACTTTTCCTTGGCTCTCCCTTATGGGTGTCAGATGACATTTCCTCTACTTGACCGTGTGCCTGTGTGACTTCTGTTCTTGTTTTTCTGAAGTTATGTGGTGTTTTTGTTGGTGTGGGAAGGATTTCACATCGCTAGAAATGATTTTCAGCATTTATATTTAAAACTTCCAATGTCAGAAACCTGTCCCTCTAAAAAAAAATAAAAATAAAAAAGCAGTAGTGCAGTCTCTTCTGAACTCCTCTCTGTCCTCCTCAGTAATACTGATTTTCAGAGGACAAACAAAATAAGGTTTAAATGTATTTGTTGTTAGAAGCTCTTCTTCTACTTATGTCTGAGTAATTTATACTAGAAACACAAGTACAATTTATTCACAATTTCAGGAGTTCTAAAAAATGAATTTTAAATTATCCATATATTTTAATCCTATGGGTTTTTGAAACCCTAAAAGAGGTTTCAAAAGCATGCAAAGGTTTCCTCCTGTGTCCCATCTTGTTCCCAATTAGAGCTGCAGTATTTGGAATCTATTGCAACTACCTACTCAAATGGTTTCCTTAACTTTATTTGGTTCATTGTAAAAATTATACGGTTTTGACTTAACTGCAATGACTGTTTCCTATGTTTCCTTAAAATGAAATGCAACCTGATTTATTTGCTTTATATGCTTTGTAGCTACTTGTTTTAGAACACAATCAGCTTGTTGCAGCTGAGCCAGTACATAAATGGGAATGGACTAGTAGCAAGATGAAATAGTTTTAAAGGTAATAGGAAGTTTCATATTGACTTCTGTGGGATGAATGTAGCCGTGTAACAGTACTGCAGCTTGATACGCAGTACATTCAGGAAGTATGTGCTAATAATTGGATTATGTTCTATCCAGTGTGGTGTATAAAGAACCTTGCAGCTGACAGGCATTTTGAGACAATGAGGGCCGCCTGCTGATGCTTTATGAGCCTGGTAAAACAGCCCCCGCGCTGAGTCTCGGTAAGTAAGTTTTAGCACTGTAGACAGACAGGATGGAGGAAAAAATGTCCCAGAATAATTTTATGTCCAGTAAGAAGTCCCAGACTCCAGATGAGGTTGTCTCACTGAGTTGACTGGTATCTAGAAAAGCTGAGGAAATGAAGTCAGCCTTTGGAAAGTTACTGAACAAAGGAAAGAGCAGAGCAGAGCTGTACTGAACTTTTCACTGGCTGGAGACTAATCACTATCATACGTGAGTCAGCAGTGTGCCCTTGCAGTGAAGACCAACTGCAGACAGGAGTGTTAGCAGGAACCAGGCAGTGGAGAGAAGTGATTTTTTCCCCTCTTGGCATTTGGGAGACGGATGGTTAGGAGCTAAAGAAGTGACCTCTGGGGGCAGGTTAAGGAGGATGTCAGTGCAGTTTTCAGAGGAGAAAGAGCTCGACTCTTGTGAGTGGTGAGCAGTGAGAAGATAAGAAACAACAGGCAGAAGTTTTAACAATAGAAACTCCTATTGAGCACTGGGAAAAATTCACAACAATGAGAGTCCTCAAACACTGCAATACGTTGTCCCAGAGAGACTGAGGAATTGCCTGAGGAATCTGCTGGGTTAGGCCTGAACACACTGCTCATACGTTGGTACCAGATGAGCTCCACAACATAAATTTGTGTTTGATTCTGCACAGAGTCCATATGCAATGCTATCATAGCGTTATTTCTCAAATATGACATGTGGTGGGTTCAGACTCTAATCCCTGGTCTCCTATTACCTATTTTATTATTTCAACTGCATCATGGGGAAACTCCCTATCAACTGAGACATCTCATAGCTAGAGGAACACTGGGATGGAAAACAGAGGCAGAGACACCCAATCCCTTGCTGACACAATGTCTGAAGGAATGTAGGGCCTGATTCAGCTGTCTTTGTTTGAGTCAGTAGGGAGTTCTGAATAAATGAGATCTACAAGAAGAGGCTAGTTACTGATTTCCACCCACTTGGAATGAACTAATTCTCATAAAAAGTTGTATCCGTTTTCTCAATGCCTTAGCCTGGAAAATCACCCAGCAGTTGACATTTCATGCTAAGCCATGAAATTTCTTTCACTTTACTTCTGTGCTTACAGGTGGGATTTAAAAGGTCACCGGGGACAAATGTAAGATTGAGGGAAGCAGTCTTGCAACTGTTACTCTGGCAAAATTCCCATTAAATTTGACAGAGTTATAGCTGACAGAACAAGAATGTATATTTCCTCTGCTTGCACTAAGGCTGTTACATATTTAAATCAAAGAAACAATTGCTATTTAAAATTTCTATGTGTAGAATTGAATGTATGTCAGTGTGTGCTGTATTGAGCCAAGATTTTTTTTTAATTATATTTTTTCCTCTGTATTTCAGTTGTATTCCTATTCAGCACTAGTCTTACAAAACCAGATTGTGCTTCCCCTTCCTGGAAAACAGAATAGGAATTGTAGGTTTTCTTCCAGTTCACTTAGCTTTTTTTCAGGGCACGTGAATAGCTGTTAATGTGATCTCGTATGTCTTCAGTATAAGGACTCGTAGTATAACAGGGTCACTCTTATTAGGTGAAGGTTGATTTAAAATGCGGTTTTAGAAAGAAAATATCTATGAATGTGTACCGAAAATTCCTTAAAGCAGTACTGAGAAAAAAGTGTGTGTGCATTAGGGCATTTCTGGTCTCCCTGTGATTTCTTTGTCACTGATGCTTAAAAATCCTGGTGTTTTAGCAGAGTAAGGTCATCCATTTCCTTCAGAGCTTTGTGGGGGCAAGTCCACTCATTCTTTGAATTCTCCAGATTTTGGTGGGGTTATACCAAGTGTGCCTTGCTCTTGTAAATCAAATGCATTTTTTTCTTTAAGATGATGATTTCTGTACTAAAACTGTTCCACACACATAAATAGGAGAGAGATGTACCAAACCTGCATGAAATTAGTAGCTTTACGCTTACCTGAGATACAGCTGAGGTAAAAAGCCAGAATTTCTCCAGTGGTACACAGACCCCCAGTGTCTGCACTAAAAGTGCCTTTCCTTCAGTTCTCATAGTACTGCTGAGATGTTATCCCAGCACCTCACACAGTCTATCAAATTATGAGTTTACATTCTGACATGGGATTGGATTTACTCCTCCATTATGAGCTAAGTTAACAGAGTAAACCTCTCACTTATTTATTTTGTAAAAATAGAAGTCTTGAGTGAAATTTCCCCTCCCTCCCCCCGAGCTACCATTAATGGATTTCACAGCTAATTAGCACAGCTAATCGAACCAAGAAGCATTAAGAAAAATGGCCGATAATTTATTTTGTCACTTTTTTTTATAATTTAGATTTAAACCAGTTAATTGGTCTCAACTTTTGTCTGGATGTAATCACTCATTGTGCTTGTAATGTATCTTAAAAAAAAAAAAAATGCACACCACAATTTTCCCACAGTATTTGTTTGCATTGGCTTAATCAAGGCTTTCTTTATTA